CCCCCGGGCTTCTCTGATTCAGCTGCTGGTCATTTTCAGCAGCGGCTGAATTGGGGAAGCCGGGCACAGAGCAGCTCTAATTGTCCGGCAGCCAGAGCACTTCTGGGTTCCTGATGGTGCCGGACCATCAGGAGTGCCGGAGCATTGGATGCCGGACCAGTGGAGTTTTACTGTACTGATTTTGACTTACTGTAATATGTTTAGTAAATTACTGCATTTACAGTTTCACTTCTCACTGGTAGTTCTGTGCCACAGAAGTAAAAGGATGCATTTGCCGTATGTCATACCTTGGTAATTACTACGGTGTATGGTTTGTAAGTTTATTGTTATCTTTGCCATGGACAGGTAGCATGACCCAATGCTTAGGATGCTAGCCTGGGACTTAGAAGACATAGGTTCTGTTTTCACCTTTTGTCTTCTTGTCTAATCTTGTGCAAATCATCAGTTTCACGGAACTTTGATTCTCCCTCTGTTCAATGGAGATAACATCACTTCCCTATCTTGAAGGAGTTTGTTGTGAGAATAAATACATCGAAGACCTGTAGGTGCTCAGATAAGAGTCATGGGAGCCATCGAAGTATCTAAGATTGATATTGCACTGAGTATTGCTAAGAAACGAGATGTTAAAATATTTCAAACAGAGGATAATTTACTACAAAGTAGTTCTGTTAATTATTTTGTTAATAATCCAAATAATTGTGATTCTAGAGGTCAAGAGGAAGTGGTATTCTTCTAGGAGGATGCGTTTTCATTTTTCCCCAGGCCCTTCAAGTACTGATCACGTTTCCAGCTGAGGCCATAGCTCTACATCAACTTCATTGTTGCTTGTTCCTAACTAGTCAGAGGAGCTTGAGGGGTAGCCAAGTTAGTATGTAACTGGAAAAACTTGAAAAACAACAGAGTTTAGCAGCACTGTGAAGACTAACAAAATATGTAGATAGTATCATGAGCTTTCATGGGAAGTGGGTTGTGCCCACGAAAGCTCATGATACCATCTACATGTTTTCTTAGTCTTTAAGGTGCTGCTAAACTCTGTTGTTTTTCTAGTCAGAGGAGGTCACTGAAGAGGCATGTCCTTACTTAGGAGTGACAGACTTATTCCTACAATGGGCTGATCACCATAGCTTTAATTCAGCACCTCTTCGGAAGAATTAAGGGCATTCAGCCGCTCACAGGAAATATCCAACACCTTGTAAGATTGGGGCCCTAAAGCAATTTCTCAGGAACTCTGCTAGTCTCTGCCACCTCAGCCAGAAGGACTGAATCTGAGCCTGTTATTTAGCTCTTGGATGTTTTAGTGCTGCTAATTATGAAGAGTAGGTTGTCCTAGTGAAAGGGCTAATATGTTTATGTTTTAAATATTCCCAACAGATCAGTTCTTAGAACAAGCAGTAACGTACCAGCAGTTTGTGGACAATCCTGCTATCATTGATGACCCCAACCTTGTGGTTAAGATTGGAAATAAGTAAGTATGTTCCAGCAGACAAAAGTTTCAACACTGTGGCAAACACTTGTGTATTTTCAGTGCTACCTGCGGCTTATACCAGCTGCACCATAACTGAACAAATGGATACTAATTTTCCTACTGTAGATTCACTCTGAGAGTCAAAGCCAGTGTCAAATAATTAAGTAATTAATTTGGGTTTCAAAGACCTAGCATTGAATGCAGGCAGTGTTCACACTCAATGTGCAGAATAAAAAGAAAATTAAATTATAAACCTTGCTAGGACATTCATTCATTACAACTGAATTATGAATTCTGGGGAAATCACAGTCAGCTTGTGGTCATTCTATATTCAGAGAAAGAACATACATCCACTGAATATATTATTCCTTCACCCCTCTGCTGACTCATTGCATGCGTTTGAACAAATTGCTTAATTTCTTGCCTTGGGTTTCTTGATCTGTAAGGATGTGCCTAGACTATAGGGTTTTTTCGAAAAAAATGGCTTTTTTTTAAAAAAACTTCCCCTGCATCTAGACTGCTGCTTCGTTCTTTCGAAAGTAAATTGAAGGAATGCGGCAGTTTTTTCGACCGCGGAAAACCTCGTTTTACGAGGAATAACATCTTTTTCCGAAAGTGCTCTTTCGAAAAAAGGCGCTATGTAATGCAAACTGTGCTTTTTCGAAAGAAAGCATCCAGACTGCCTGGGTGCTCTTTTTTGAAAAAGTGGCTTGCTTTTTCAAAAGTACTGGTTGTAGTCTAGAAGCTCTTTTTCTAAAGAGGCTTTTTTGAAAAGCCTCTTTTGAAAGAGGCTTGCAGTCTAGATGTAGCCATAAATGGGGACAATACCACTTACCTTCCTCACAAGGGAGGAACTTGGAAGAGAGGAAAGTGATTAGGAATAGTCAGCATGGATTCACAAAGGGAAAGTCGTGCCTGACCAATCTGATGAGCTTCTATGATGAGGTAACTGGCTCTGTGGACGTGGGGAAAGTCAGTGGATGCGATATGCCTTGACTTTAGCAAGGCTTTTGATATGGTCTCCCATAATATTCTTGCCAGCAAGTTAAGGGAATGTGGATTGGATAAATGGACGGTAAGATGGATAGAAAGATGGCTAGAAGGCCAGGCCCAGCGGGTAGTGATCAACGGCTCGATGTCAGGATGGCGGTCAGTTTCTAACGGAGTGCCCCAAGGTTCGGTTCTAGGACCGGATTTGTTCAATATCTATATTGATGACCTGGATGAGGGGATGGATTGCACCCTCAGCAAGTTTTGCGGATGACACTAAGCTAGGGGGAGAGGTAGATATGCTGGAGAGCAGGGATAAGGTCCAGAATGACCTGGACAGATTAGAGGATTGGGCCAAAAGAAATCTGATGAGGTTCAACAAGGACAAGTGCAGAGTCCTGCACTTGGGACAGAAGAATCCCAAGCATTGTTGTAGTTCTGCAGAAAAGGACCTGGGGGTTACAGTGGATGAGAAGCTGGATATGAGTCAACAGTGTGCCCTTGTAGCCAAGAAGGCTAATGGCATATTAGGTTGCATTAGGAGCATTGCCAGCAGATCCAGAGAAGTCATTATTCCCCTTTATTCAGCTCTGGTGAGGCCACAACTGGAGTATTGTGTACAGTTCTTGCCCCCCCGCCCCCTCACTACAAAAAGTATGTGGACGCATTGGAGAGGGTCCAAAGGAGGGCAACCAAAATGATTAGGGGGCTTGAGCATATGAACTATGAGGAGAGGCTGAGGGAGTTGGGGCTGTTTAGTCTGCAGAAGCGAAGAGGGAGGGGGGATTTGATAGCAGCCTTCAACTTCCTGAAGGGAGGTTCCAAAGAGGATGGAGAAAGGCTGTTTTTAGTAGTGACAGATGGCAGAACAAGGAGCAATGGTCTCAAGTTTCGGTGGGAAAGGTCCAGGTTGGATATTAGGAAAAACTAATTCACTAGGAGGGTGGTGAAGCACTGGAATGGGTTACCTAGGGAAGTAGTGGAGTCTCCATCCCTAGAGGTGTTTAAGTCTCGGCTTGACAAAGCCCTGGCTGGGTTGATTTAGGTGGGATTGGTCCTGCCTAGAGCAGGGGGCTGGACTTGATGACCTTCTGAGGTCTCTTCCAGCTCTATGATTCTATGATGTAGTGTGTAAGCATTTTATTGAACTTGGGTTATAAAATTAAAATAAAGACACAAAGTAGTGTAAATAGGACATGGATGAGTAGATACAAATCTGAACTTCAGGGCTTTGTTCTTTAGTTTAAATAAACTGCATCACTTAAACTGACTGTACAGTTACTGTTAGCATTGCTCCCAGTTCATAGCCTATCACAAAATGTAACAGTATATAATCTTTTTTGACTTGCCAGATACTACAACTGGACAACAGCTGCTCCACTTCTACTGGCAATGCAAGCATTCCAGAAACCTTTGCCAAAGGTGAGACTGAACACGAAAGTCAACTGGGAAAACGTGATCAGTGGTATTTTTCATTTTATGAACTGAAATTCATGAAGGCAGAGAAAGTGACTATATTTTACAGGGAAGTCTGCACATCAGTAGGAGCTATTCACACACAACCAGTCACATAGCTGATGCTGACAACAGGGCCTATTCAACCTACAGTTAAGCAGGACTAAGAGCTTGTTTACATGGGAAGTTAGTGCACAGCCGCTTGGCTGTGACTGAATAGCACACAAGCTACTTTGCACCAAATCAATTGGGAATTCATACATTAAGCTAAAGTGTACAAAGGCACTTCTTATGAGCAGTAAGAATCCACATAGGGAGTTAGTGCAGACTGGCTAGTACGCTATAAATTCACATTATGCCTTGTTGCTCTCTAAGGGTACGTCTACACTAGCTCATTAGTTTGAGCTAGGTAGGGTAATGAGGGCAAGCGGAGTTGCAAATGAAGCCCGGGATTTAAAAATCCCAGGCTTCATTTGCATGTTCCTGGGCGCCGCCATTTTTAAACGCCCCTTAGTCTGAACTCCGTGCCCGCAGCTACACATGGCACGGAGTAGGTAGTTCGAATTAAAAATCCTAATTTGAACTACCATTACTCCTCGTTTAAATCCTGGGCTTCATTTGCAACTCCGCTTGCCCTCATTACCCTACCTAGCTTGAACTAACGAGCTAGTGTAGACGTACCCTAACTTCCCTGTATAGATAAACCCTAAATTTGGTCTACAATGTATTTATTTGCTAGCTTATAAAAATTCAGAAAATATCTAAAGGATTATAAAGTCCAAGAACGGATAATCCTTCTTGATGACTTTTCATCCCCTTTTTCCTTTGATTAATGTTCACTGGCTTGGAACCATAGGTTATATTTACACAGATAACTGTGTGCTGTAATTGAGTATTTGGTGTCTGTACCCTCTAGAATGTCTGCAGAGAATATACAGATATGGTAGACACAGGAACTAGAGATTTGCCCTTAATAGACAGCTTTTTCCAAAGTAGTAGTCCTTGCTTTAAATTGTCAGAAAAGAGGCATGTATTTGAGTGGGAAATTTTGTAGCTTTTAAAAGTGCTTGTCACAATTTAGGGTTCATTGAGAGGACTTTTTGGGGAAAATAATCTGTGCCCACGTTTGATTTTGATTTGCACACAAATTATATCTTTGGTTTTGAGCTATGTGAGTTCAAATCCTTTTAATGTCACTTTGAATTTGGAATCTGAACTCATGCAAAACCTCAAACTAATACTTACTGGGTACCACTATAAAACACTTCCTTTTCTGTGAGAATCGTCTGAATCTGCAAATATGCATGGTTCATATGTATCGCTCTACAGCTGTCCACTCTCCATGTAAATTGACTGAGTATGCAATGAAACACAAAATCAAAAGTGTGTTGTTTCACTGTAAACATTTTGTTAAAATCTGTGTCTTTGGGACATAAATTAGAGGATTCTGGATGAAAACCTGATTGTGCTGAAATTAATTTCACCTTAGTCTCCTGGGTTATCAATAAAAATATAATTCAGGAACACTAAATTTACAATTTTTGTTTTTTTTAAAAACTATACTTGCATTCCTAATGTTGCTGACTTTCTAGAATAACCAAATCATATGAAGGAATAGGTCCAGAGCAATGTATAGATTGGAAAGATTTACTGGGCTGAACTGTAACCTTGAAAATGTTACCAACCTGTTTTCTATTGCCAATCTTCCAACTGATTTTTTTGACTTATTTTCATTAATATTAATTGGTTTGAGACAGCTTTGACTTGTTCCAATAATGGAAATAAGTCATTGAAATGTTAAAGGGTTTTATATTTGGTCAAGAGACTGTATGAAGTGAATGTGAACTTGGAGTTTTTGCAAAGGAATAGTTGATATTCAGCAAGGTATTTAAGCACATGTCTAACTTTAAGCCTCTGAGTAGTCCCATTGAAGTCAATGGAACTAGATATATGCTCAAAGTTAGGCATGTGAGTATGTATATTGCTGAACTGGAGTCATTACTCTCAACAATTCAGTTGTTTATTCAAGCTGTTCCTCTGCTTTTTTTGCAATTCTTTAAAAGAAGCCTCAAAGCTTATTTGCTCAGTTTTAGTGTTGTGCCATTTATCTCAATATCTTTCTCTGACCCATTTTAAATGCAACAGCAAAGGAGAACCTTTGAAAAACCTAATATACTTAGAGAGCTAGATGAACACTGTACTGAAATCTGCTTCTCATCTTTCTAACCGCTGATAGAACTTGTATTTGATTGTGGTTTATCTTAAAAGATCCCGTATCACCTGCTCAATTTTTCGCTGATATTTGAAGAGGAGGGGTAAAGTCAGACTTACAGCAGAAAGCTGGTTGCAGCCTTAAATGATGAGGAGCCATGATATATTTTCCATAAAAATGTTGTTTCACTGTAAACATTTTAAGGTGTTAAAACACCACCAACACCCTTGCAGTTTTAGTAGAAAGGCCAAGGGATCATAGGTGTGAAACTAAATCCTTTCAAAAGCGACGAGGAGTCCTGTGGCACCTTATAGACTAACTGAAATCCTTTTACTCTTGGGAATGATCCATTATTGAAAGGAACTATGTTCTGTTGCCATCCATATAGTATCTGTGGATAAATAATTCCAGGAGCTAGCCATTGTCAATCCTGCACACATAATCAGTAAATTCTCGTAAAAATAGTAAACCTGCTACTCCCCACAAATTAACCGTAAATACAAATGTTACTTTTGTTTTAGGGGGAGTAAACAACCATCTTGCCCTTTAGTTTGTAGCCCTTTGTACCTAAAACCTCTTCCATAAAGCTAGTTGCCTGTTTTTTTGTTTTTGTTTTTATTTTTTGTAACTTGCAGTTTTCCCTAAAACAACCTCAGATCAGAGATCTATTATTTACCCATGCTAGTCATTATACTAATGCCATTTTATGCTTTCTTTTTCTTGATCTCTTTGTCTTTTTCCTTTAAAAACTCTTCTAGTATTCATGCTTAAGTTACTTCAGTGCAGTTCTGGATGCCATTAGGTTTTGCTTTTATAAAATTTATGGCCCACACACAGTATGTTTCCTTTTCTTCTATTTATCTTTGGTTGAAATTGTGTTCACCATTTCCCTTCGTTTGCATGCGTCAGGTTGTCTGTTTCTTTTGTTCCATTATTTATGTTACCATCCATTTATCACAGGCCACTGTGGAATCTATTATGAGGGATAAGATGCCCAAGAAAGGCGGAAGATGGTGGTTTTCATGGCGAGGGAGGAATAGCACTATCAAAGAGGTAAGTTTAAAAAGTAGATGAGGTTAGTGTTTGGATGAGGTTTGAATCTCGTGAACTTTTACCGATGTATCCTCCAGAGGTTGTGTTTCTACAAACAGAACAATACCCGGTCTGATTTTGGGACACACACAAGGAAGGCATTTATGGCCTGATCCAAATTCTGTAAATCAATAGAAAGTTTCCTATTGACCTCAATGGTTGAGGATGAAGCATTTGTCTATTTCACTTCTACATTTTTATTCATTGCATGTATAACCTTTATCAGCATAATCTAATAGATTAGATAGAGATCTGCAAACCAAGAACTTCTGAGTTATCCTCCTGTAAGACTAATTTAATATACGTCATTGTACAAGTTGCTCACCTTTTCTACAGTTCTGTTTCCACATTTAAAGGATAATGATATTTATTACTTGAGCAAGTTGGACAATTACAACAAAAGTTAACTTTAAGTGAAAAATAATTAAAGAAATGTTTCACCACTTTTTGTTACTCCCACCCCATTTTTCAACAATCTTTGGGGATTGGGTGCTTAAATTACATTTTCACACTGTCTATAAACATTGAAGCACTGGGTAACCATTGATCTCTTTCCCGTTAGACATATTTCATCTTTAAAACTGATAACAAAATCTGTCTTTTACTTTCAAGAAATTGAAATACCTGTACTCTGTAGTTTTCTAAGTTTACATGAAATAGTCATTCTTGTGAATTTTAGTTATGAGCTTCATATAATTAGTTTTTCCTGCCATATTTTTCTGCAACTTGTTTAACTCCAAGAGTGACTCTATTCTGGGAAGTGTTTGGCTAAGGGATTGATCCCACAATTTCCCCCAATACTTGCCATTTGAAATCAGCTTTCTCTCTCTATCTGCCAAAGAAAAACAAGCTACATTTTCTGTCATGGTTTAAACATGTGAGTATGAGTGTTTTGTGCAGAAATTTTCCTAAAATAAACCCTTGCATTTTTTAATACATATATGCACAGAACCAAGTCTTGAGTGTCTTTCTCACGTGAACAGTCTTAGTGAAAGCAGTAGGACTACATGCACAAGTGACGCAAACAGGATTTGGCCCACAAGATTATTTCCTTTATATATTTCCCCTCTCTGTCTACTATGAAACTTTTTATATTTTTGTTTTAGGAAACCAAGCCAGCACAAGGTTTGAGTGGACAGGTGCTTGCTGCAGAAGAGGAGTCATCACAAATGAGCATTGCAGACAGGTATGCCAAAATAGGGCTGTAGCCAATGTAACTGGAACATTTAAAAATGAAAGCAGGATTTTTAAAGTCTTTGAATGGCAGAATAGGGTCAGGAACGAAATCTGAATGAGATTAGTAATCTGTGATGCTATCATATCACTGTGTTTGATCCTTTAATGTTGGTGAAGTTCATCCATGGTAAAATGCACTTCACCTGCATCAAGTCTAAGCAGATGAAGTGTGGGGGATTCTATTCAGGGCCAATTTGGGAAGCTGCAGAACTTTAGTGACCCTTTTCCAAACATTCTACATTTGTAAAACTGGGCTTTCTTGTTCTGGCATCTTTTGTTTTTGATCCTAGAAAAATGCAGGAAGTTTAGAAGCACCTACAAATAAATAAAAGTTGAGTGGAACATTTCCCAAAGCTTTTTGCACCTCACTGAAATCAAAACATCTCAGATCCTTATAATCGCCCCTTACTTTTGAAAACTTACATAGTCTGACTTCTCTTTATTTGCTTTGATATACCCCAAGGAAGCTCAAGGGCATAAACACCTTCTTTCAGAGAGAATCTTCTGTTATGTCTCCCATGCAGGGATAGAAAATTCCACAGCTTTCTATTACTTCTTCCAGGGAAAAGCAGGAGAAGGAATTCCAAAGCCAGAGGATCCTTCTAGCAGTTCTTATAATATCCCTCACTAGCCCCAGAATCTCCATATAGGGAGGATTCTGCAGGGCCAGCATTAAGTTACCTAAAGAAGTCCTATGAGGATGAAGTAACTCTCCCCCATCTGGTCTCCTTTTTTGCACAGTCCAAATCCCAAGGAGGTGCAACAGAATGGCCTAACATGGATAGAGCACTGTCCAGTTCTGTGCTGTCCTTGCTCAGATCTGCCAGAATTATAGCAGCGTAGAATAGTGATAGAGATGTAGCCGTGTTAGTCTGGGGTAGCTGAAGCAAAATGCAGGACAATGTAGCACTTTAAAGACTAACAAGATGGTTTATTAGATGATGAGCTTTCGTGGGCCAGACCCACTTCCTCAGATCAAATAGTGGAAGAAAATAGTCACAACCATATATACCAAAGGATACAATTAAAAAAAAGAACAAATATGAAAAGGACAAACGTAGTGAGACTCACCTCTAGTTATGGGTCACAAAGGCTTTTTGGCGGCAGTCCAGGAGAACTGAGCACTGGTGGTTCCTCATTCCAGCTGATTTGTGCCAGAGCTGAGCTACAGCGCTTTGAGGCTTGGTAGTTCACAGCCCTGTCAGCTTGGCTGCATCAGTCATGAATGGAAAAAACTGTTGCCTCAATAACCTATCTTGTCTCAAATTGGCAAGATCCATGAATGGACCTGAGAGGGCACATCCCTCAACAGGGGCATTTGGTTCTGTTGCCCCTTACCTGTTTGTTTAAAGAAGAAGCCTTAAAACAATATTGGAACTACTCCTCACTTATTGTTCCATGTTTGAGTTTTAAATGACTTCAGAAACAGATCAGGCTGAATGTGTTGAAGGCAACCATTCCATGGTAAATAGAATACTGAGTAGCAAGCAGTTTTTAGACCATATATAGTATCCACAGCGTCAGGCAGACTATAGCTTTAAAAGCTGTCAATCACAACACGCAGTGCTTATGATATGAGGGTCAGGATTTCCCAACAACATGCAAGACCCAGGTGTGATGGAAAAGAATGTGAATGGTGATATATTAAAGATCACATTGGCAGTTAAGAATATTGGAAGCTACTGCCTAATATGACAGTTCTGTTTACCATTAAAATTCTTTCTTATCTGAAAAGTTTTTTTCCTTGACAGATTTGGTAGGAAAAATAGTTTTATAATGATGCACACTTAAACTAATATCATGCACAGGAACAAAAAGTTGCTGGCATTTTGAATAGGGCAATCCTGCCAAAGCTTCTAGTAAAAATATAATCCCAGTGAGAAAAATTGCTGCTTTCACAAAGAATGGATGGTGCAGGTTATTTTCCATTAGAAAGTTGCACTAATCATGTTTTAGGATTATTTTCCAATTGCTGAATCCTTTGTAGACTAAATATATTATTTTCTTTTCTTCCTTGGAATGAAATTTCTTAGTAATGCTCACATTAAAAAACTCAGGGTATAAAAATCTATTAGTATGGACTGTAATTTAAATCTGTTAACATAAAGTGACAAAACTAGCATATAGAAAAAGGAATGACTAGCAGAACCCAAATATGAATAATGGAAGGACATGTGTGACTTAGAATTCAGCACTTTGACGTATTTGTAAAGCCATGTTGTAAATAACCTCCCAAGAGACATTACTTAGAAGCAGAGAATCAATTGACTTATTCAGTGAGTCAGTGGTAATGTATTTTTAATGCATACCCAAATGCATTTACTGAGTGATGATAGAATTATTTTCTGTGTGTGTGATGTTCCAGAATAAAAGATGAATCTTCTTCAAGTGATGAAGACCCAAGAGCTACAAAACCAAACATTGGGTCATTGCAAACCAACTCAAGTCATCTCTCATTATTGTCAGGAGTCAGTTACAAAAAGACCCTTCGACTCACTTCTGACCAGCTTGTGAGTTATTTTTACCTATTCCTTCTGTAATGTCATTTCTAGAACAACAGACACAATGCAGTTATACTGGCTAGCACAAAGTCAGTGAACTGTTAGTATTAGTAGACCTTATGAAATTTTTTAAAAAAGTCTTAATGGTCAAAGTAAATCTTATGCTTAATGTCAAAGGTGTTGGGTTGACAAATCAGGAGACAGAGATCTTGTACCCTGGGAGCCTAGAATTAAACTGTGAAGTCTGCATTAAAGCACCTAAATAAGCAACCTGGTTTTCAAAAGTGCATAGCACCCAGAAGTTCCCATTACACCTGTTGAGAGTCTGTGTATGTTTTATGTCATGGATGAAATTCCGTACTGTGCCTTTAAGCCCTTGTCTGCACTAGGGAGTTATTTCAGAATAACCCCCTTTATTTTGAAATAATAAGTAGAGTGTCCACACTACCAAGCCAGTTATTTCGAAATAATGGGCTGCTTATTTTGAAATCTTTACTCTTTCACGGAAAAGAAGCTTTTTTTGAAATAGTTATTTCAGGAGTTATTTCAAATTTAGTTATTTTGAAATAATTTTCTAAGAGGCATGGAACAGAACTGGCAACCCAGGTATGGGTTTTAAGTAACCTTTGTATACTTCCTAACTTGGGCTGCCCTTGAGACTACAGAGGCCCTGGAAGTTATTTAGCAGTACTAGGGGACTCTCTAAGTTAGAGCAGCCTCCCTGCCCTGCTTGATGGCCTGCAGTGCTGCCAGGAATCACCACAGGGATCTGTGCTGTTGTCCTTTCCCAGTGACCTCCATCTGAGTCCCATCCTGTCCTCAGCATGCCCCATGCCAAGTTCTGTAAGGGAGTCCTTACAGGAGAGCTTCATGGCTGTTGTACACAAGAACCTTCCACCAGCTGGAAATGAGGCATTTAAGGTTCCTTTACGCTGCTCCAGCTCTTTTACCTGGTTTAAAGGGGCCAGGTCCTCTGTGTGTGTATGTACACATGCATTCACACATCTATGTGTGTGTACGTTGTCTCTCTCTCCCTCCCTCCCTCGCCCTGCCTGCATGCATGCATGCATGCACGTGTGCGCGTGCGCACACACACACACACACACACCACACACACACACACACACACAAAAGGTACGTCTAGACTACACGCTTTTTTTAACAGAAGTTTTGTCGACACATACTGTCGACAAAGCTTCTGTCGACAAAGAGCATCTAGACTACATCCAGTTCTGTCGACAGAGCAAGCCGCTTTGTCGACATGACAGTGTAGACGCAAAGTACAATGTAGATGCAATAATGCCTTTTCTCAACAGAACTCTGTCGACAAAAGGCATTATTCCTCATAGAATGAGGTTTACAGCCGTTGACAAAACTGCTGAGTTCTGTCGACGTTATGTCGACAGAACTCAGAGGCAGTGTAGGTGCAGGTATAGTTTTGTCGACAAAAGTCCATTTCTGTAGACAAACCCCTGTAGTCTAGACACGCCCAAAGTTAGCAGGATGTAAAACATCTGCTTATGAATTTAGTGTGACCAGGACAATAGTAACTTCATTCTTCTGCATGGAAGTGTTGTGATTAAAGTGGGTAAATAATGCTGTTGCTGTCAAGCCCAGTGCATTAATACTTGATTTTGGAAAATGTGACTAGTTAGGAAAATGCAATTTCTCACATCTACACACACAGCTAATTAATTTTCAGATGCAAACAAACTTGAGAAATACAACATTAGGAATCCCACTGCTGCCAGGTAGCTAAATGAGAGTGTTCCCTGTAGTTGGCAAAAGCTCTGGAGTTTGCCTCAAGAGACAGATCTGGTTTATTGGTCGTATTGTGTAACAAATTGAGAGCAGGGGTGCACAAAGACACGGGCTTATTTTTCAGATGTGGTAGTTGCAGAGGTCTGAAGCCAATATCTGATTTTTGCTGCCAAGAACACTTTAGGCCCTACCATGCCACTGGTTGTAAAGCAGAGCTCCTATTGTTTTTAATTCTGCATATGAATCAAGGGCACAGCATAGCCATTGCATCTAAACTTTTGCTTCCATTATTCAGTAGAGTGTCCCGTGACAGAAAAGGGATGAAAGCAAATAGCACCCTCTCATTTGTGTTTATACTGTTCTTGCCATTTCACCTGCACAAGTTTGATCTCACTAATAACGTTTCACAGAAAAGTCTGAAACTCAAGAATGGTCCTAATGATGTGATCTTTAGTGTTACGACACAATATCAAGGCACGTGCCGCTGTGAAGGCATCATCTATTTATGGAATTGGGATGACAAGGTTATTATTTCTGACATCGATGGAACTATCACAAGGTAACTTGACAAACAGGGCAAGATTTTACCTACCAGGCAATATCTTCTTCGGGCCCAAAAAATGATTACTATGATGACATAGGGTTGGAACAAGGGATCATCATGTTCAGGCTTTGAATTTTCATGTTCGACATGTTTTTCATATGAAACAAGAAATATAAGGTGCTCCTACTACATTGACTGGAATGTTAAAGGCTGGTATGTGTGATAACATTAATCTATTTGTTACTTATAGACTTTTCTGTGGTGCTTATAGTAGTAATATCTGTGCACCTTGCACACATTAATGAGTTCATTTTTGTGTCCCATCTGTGAGGCACACTGTACGGATACTCATAGAATCACAGAATCATAGAACTGGAAGGGACTTCAAGAGGTCATCAAGTCAAGTCCCTTGACCTCACGGAAGGACCAAGCACCGTCTAGATCATCCCTGATAGAAGTCTATCAAACCTGCTCTTAAATATCTCCAGTGATGGAAATTCACAACTTCACTAGGCAATTTATTCCAGTGTTTAACCACCCTGCCAGTTAGGAAGTTTTTCCTAAAGTCCAACTGAAACCTCCCTTGCTGCAATTTAAGCCCATTGCTTCCTGTTCTATCATCAGAGGCCAAGGAGAGCAATTTTTTCCCTTCTCCTTAAAACTCCCTTTCAGATACTTGAAAACTGTTATTATGTCCCTTCTCAGACTTCTTTTTTCTAAACTAAATCAGCTCAGTTCTTTCAGTCTTCCCTCATAGCTCATGTTTTCTAGGCCTTTAATAATTTTTGTTGCTCTTCTCTGGACCTTCTCCAATTTCTTCACATCTTTCTTGAAATGTGTACCCAGTACTAGACACACTACTTCAACTGAGGCCTAATCAGTGCAGAGTAGAGCAGAAGAATGACTTATTGTGTCTTTCACACAACATCCTGTTAATGTACCCTAGAATCATGTTTGCTCTTTTTGAAACAGTGTCATGTTGTTGACTCATATTCAGCTTGTCCCTTTCTGTAGTACTCCTTCCTAGACAATCACTTCCCATTCTGTATGTATGAAACTGATTGTTCCTTCTTAAGTGGAGTACTTTGCATTTGTCCTTCTTAAACTTCATCCTGTTTACCTCAGACCATTTCTCTAGTTTGTCCAGATCATTTTGAATTATGATTCTATCGTCCAAAACACTTGCAACCCCTCCCAGCTTGGTATCATCTGCAAGCTTAATAATCATACTCTCTATGCCATAATCTAAATCATTGGTAAAGATATTGAACAGAACTGGTCCCAAACAGACCCCTGCATAACCCCACTTGTTATGCCCTTCTAGCATGATTGTGAACTGTTAATAACTACTCTCTGAGAATGATTATTCAGATAGTTTTGCACCCACATCATAGTAGTCCGATCTATGTTGTATTTCCATAGTTTATTCATAAGATCATGTGAGACCATATCAAATGCTTTACTAAAGTCTAGGTATACCTCATTCACCGCTTCTCTACAAGTCTTGTTATCCTATCAAAGAAAGCTACCAGATTGGTTTTGACATGATCTGTTTTTTTTCAAATCTATGCTGGCTGTTACCTGTCACCTTATTATTTTCCAGTTGTTTGTAGATTAATTCCTTAATTACTTGCTCCATTATCTTTCCGAGCACAGAAGTTAAATTGACTGTTCTATAGTTTCCTGGGTTATTCTTATTTCCCTTTTTATAGATGGGCACTATAGCTGCCCTTTTCCAGTTTTCTGGAATCTCTCTGGACTTCCATGACTTTTCAAAGATAACACCTAAAGGCTCTATCAGCTCCTTGAGTAGTCTAGGATACATTTCATCAGGCCATAGTGGCTTGCAGACATCTAACTTTTCTAAGTAATTTTTAACTTGTTCTTTTTTAATTTTAATTTCTAAACCTACCCCATTTCCACCATCATTCACTATGTTAGGCATCTTGTCACCATCAATCTTCTTGAACCTAACCCAGAACCTAACCCAGAGACTCTTAACAAGTCTGTCTCCTAAGTCCATCTACACCTCAGCTCAAGTGTATACATTTTTAATATATTAGGCAAAACCTCCTCCCTTTTTCCCCCTGCCTATCCTTCCTTAGCAAGCTGTACGCTTCTATACCAATCGTGTGTATTATCCCACCAAGTCTCTGTGATACCAACTATGTTGTGTTTGTTTATTATCATTTTAAGTTCTTCCTGCTTATTCCTTACCTTCCTAAGATACAGATTTGATTTAGTTCCCCAGTTCTCTCTTGCCCCTCCTTTATCTTTGCTATTAGTGTTTGTTTATTATCATTTTAAGTTCTTCCTGCTTATTCCTTACCTTCCTAAGATACAGATTTGATTTTGTTCCCCAGTTCTGTCTTGCCCCTCCTTTATCTTTGCTATTATAGCCCATGCTCCCTCCCATTTCTGACTCATCTCCCAGGTCTCCATGTTCTTCACTTACCTGTGGGCTTTCATCACCTACCCCCATCAAACCTAGTTTAAAGCCCTCCTCACTAGGTTAGCCAGTCTGTGTCCAAGTACTCTCTTGCCCTTCCTTGAAAGGTGAACCTTATTCCTGCTTATCAGTCCTCCTTCTTGGGACAGCATCCCATGGTCATGGAATCCAAAGCCCTCCTGGCAACACCATCTTTTCAGCCAGCCATTCACCTCCAGGATTCACCTGTCTCTGTCTGGGCCCCTACCATTGCCTGGAAGGACTAAAGAAAATACCGCCTGTGCTCCATACTTCTTCACCTGTACTCCCAGAGTCCTTCACTTTTGTTCTGTTGAAAGTCACACCTCACGGTATCATTAGTGGCCACATGGATGAGTAGCATGGGGTAGTAGTTAGAAGGCTGGATAATCCTTGACAGTACCCTCGTAACATCTCGGATGCGGGCCCTTGGCAGGCAGCATATCTCCCAAGATGACATGTCAGGGCAACAGATGGGTGCCTCCACCCCCCTCAAAAGACAGTCTCCAACTATCACTACTCTGTTTCCTCCTCGCAATGGTGGCTGCAGACCTCCCAGTCTCGGGAGTAGAAGGCTTCTCCTCTTTTGCTTTTAGAGATTCTGGCTTTAGAGATATTACCAATGCGTGAACTAATCCAGTCAGATAAGGCAGCATGATTTAGTGGACTGGACACCAGAATAGGATTGAGGAAGTCTGTGATCTACACCTGTGATTGAGTGATTGGGTTGTGATTAAGTCATTTCACTGTGCTGTGCCACTGTTTTCCATCTCCACCTTGTGGTACATTGTCTGTCTTTTCTTTTGCATTGTAAGCTTGTCAAGGTAGGCACTGTCTGATTGTATCTGTACTGTGCTTTTCACAGCAGAGCCTCTGCGTGCTACATAATATAAACACTTACAATGGAGCCAGAAAAGCTATTTCCTCCATTTTATAGATGGTGAACTTAAGCCCAGAGGCATTGATCCTCAAGAGAATGTAGTTGGCTAGCTCCCATTGAAATCAATGGGTGGTAGATGCCTTTGAGGATCTGGACCAGATGCCTTTGAGGATCTGGACCAGAAGGATTAAGTTATTTGCCAAGATCACACAGAAGATCTGTGCCATATCTTGGTATAAAACTTTGATCTCTTGAATCTCAGGCCAGTGCAATAGCCAACAGACTATCAAATGAATGCATAGGAGGGACTATATCAATACCACCCTTTCCTTGAAAAAATATAATTTACAGTTGCTTCTGCCTGTTCTTTGGGAGTTCTTTCTTGTAGTTCATTTGCTGTTTTTTTGCCCATCTTTATTCAGGTCCGATACTTTAGGTCATATTTTGCCCACTCTCGGCAAGGATTGGACACATCAAGGGATTGCAAAGTTGTACCATAAAGTGAGCCAGTAAGTACTCAGCAAATATCTTCATGTTAATTTCTCTCAATTGAAATGCAAAACCAAATGCCTATTCACAGCTCTAAGGTGTTGTAGCAGCTATTTACAAGAAATGAGTAAATTACATGTATAACAGGAAAGATAAATAGGATCATGCTAAATGGCGAAGGATTTAAAAGTGACACGAAGCTTGTGCTTGATGCAGTCATGTAGGGAGAACTTGTAGAGTAGGGATGGGGAACCTTTTTTGGGTTGGGGGAGCCAGTGACCTACAGAAAAATCAGTCAGATACCATACACAAGTGAAAAGCAAAAAAATACAAAACAAAACCCTACTGACTTGGCCCTCAACTGTGAAGAGAAAGACACTCTCCACATTCCCCCCCACACCAGAGCTTAGTGGGGCCCAGCCTGATAGATGTTTTCTGCTCCATCTCTGCGGTGGGTTGGGGCCTGGAGCCTTGGGACACCCCTGGGCCTTGGGGTCTGGGTCCATGCAAGCCGGGGGTTGCAAGTGGTCCCCAGGCCTGAGGTTCCCCACTCCTACTGTAGAGGGATGCAAAGAGCTGATGGGGAAGGGAAAGTTGATGGTATTTCAGTGTCAGAGAAAAACATGGTGGTTGAAATGTACGATAAGGGCCTTGACAAGCACTTGGTAGCCTGCAAAGATGTGTCAGTTTTTAAAGACCAAGGCTGGGGCTTTGAGATGTTCTACTGTAAGAAGTAACAAGGTTTAGATAGTCTGGATGGGTGCATCCGGGGAGAATCGAAGTCAGAGAGAAGTTTTCAAGCCCCACAGAGTAAGATCAATACAACCTGAAAGCTCACATAGCAAACGGTGTTTTGTTCTATGAATAAACCCTTGTATTTGAAAATATTTGTTTTGGATTTTTTTTAAGATTAACATTGCTAAATCTGCTACTGAAGGCAGCTGTTAGGGCTTTCATGGCCATAAGTTTGAGTTTCCCTGTTTAAATTACTAAATTAATTATATAGCAGCTAGATATCACAGATTGACACTATGTAAATGCCTAAGGGTGAGATTTAATGCCCTAATTCACATTTAATAGTACGTTACTTTATAAACAGTCCTATTACTGGAGTTGTGGAGTAGTGTGCTATTAAACCAGAGAAAGGATATCAGAATCTGAAAGTAAGGTTAATGCGACAGTGTTGCTGGATGCATAATGTTCTGTTCTTAACAGGAGACATTTTAATACATGATAAGGGATGTGATGCAAACACCCAGAGCCAGATTTTATATGACAGCAGTACAAATCCTAAGAGAGATACTGTACTGGTATAAATTAGTAACTTCACTGGAGCTATGCAGATTTTTGCTATCTGGCTTGTAATGTTTTAACTCCTTTGCAATAATTTTTGAGTTCTTATGGAGTAAAGAGTTGATAGATCTGAATCTCTAATTGTTATGTCTTATATCACAGGCAAATAACATATCACAATATTGAAAATACCTGCTTTAATAATAAAGTAATTTCTTCCTGGTTTGTTTGTTTGTGTGATAGAAACGGGTACAAATTTCTGTATTGCTCAGCACGAGCTATAGGAATGGCAGACATGACCAGAGGGTATTTGCACTGGGTGAACGAACGAGGAACAGTGCTACCTCAAGGACCTTTGTTGTTAAGTCCAAGCAGCTTGTTCTCAGCCTTTCACAGGTATCATTATGGAGTAGCTTGTATCCAATAAAATATTTGCCTATTAGGTGACCACTTCACATTATTCTCAGAGTTTCCAATAGGAGTACAGCTAGTTCGGATTAGAAGCCTAATCCGAACTAGCTACTCCGTGCCTCGTGTAGCCGCGCGGCACGGGGTTCGAACTAGCCGGCATTTAAAAATGGCGCTGGCCGGCTTCATGCGAATGAAGCCCGGGAAATTCAAATCCCGGGCTTCATTTGCAATTGCGGATGACTACATTACCCCCCCTAGTTCGAACTAGCGGGGTAGTGTAGACATACCCATAGAGAACCCATACAAAGGGAAAGCTATTATAAACCTATTGACCCATTCTGCAGCTTTCAGTAAGGCAGTTTATATCATAGGGTACGTCTAGATCGATCTAGGGAGGCTAATGAGGGCGAGCAGAATTGCAAATCAATCCGGGATTTAAATATCCCACGCTTGATTTGCATGTTCCCGGCCGGTTGCCATTTTAGAAATTGACTAGCCCGAAGTAACTGCCCACGTCTACACGTGGCAGTGAAACAGGATTCCGATTTAAAGCCCCTAACTCGAATTAGCTGGTAAACCTCATTGCAGGAGGAATAACAGCTAATTCGAGTTAGGGCTTTAAATTGGAATCCTGTTTCACTGCCGCGTGTAGACACGGTCAGTTACTTCGGGCTAGTCAATTTCTAAAATGGAAACCGTCTGGGAAAATGCAAATCAAGCGCGGGATATTTAAATCCCGGATTGATTTGCAATTCTGCTCGCCCTCATTAGCCTCCCTAGATCGATCTAGGGGGCTAGTGTAGACGTACCCATAAACACATCTTTATTTAGAAACTGCTGTCTATAATCCCCTGCCTTTGTTTAGTAGCCACATCGTTACCACAGGGTTTTTAATGAAAGCTTGTTTTTGCTGTAAACTTGATCTGTGCAAATATGGGGACAGTTATTTACATTCAATAGGAGCTCTGGCTTCTAAATGAAGGTTATATAGGGGCTTTCAGTTCTAGAATCCAGCTAGGTGAAATGTATTAAATAAAATACATGTATTACATAAAATAAAAATAAAATAACTGATGTATTTATGAAATACCTCCTTTTTTATTTTAGGGAAGTGATAGAAAAGAAGCCAGAAAAGTTTAAAGTTCAGTGCCTGACAGACATCAAGCATTTATTTTATCCAAACACAGAACCCTTTTATGCAGCCTTTGGAAACAGACCTGCTGTAAGTAATAGCTAAAATTATTTTTGACTACAAAGTGCAGAAGTGCTGGTGATGTTGTTCAGTATTTCTTTTGTGGTAATGCCTCAGGGCCTCAAACAGAAATTAACACCATATTTTATTAGGCTCTGTAAAAAACAAATAATGCAAAGTCAATCTCTCCTCTAGAGATTTCACAGTTTAGGATGTAGATATGCAGTAGGTGAATAAAGAAACAAACATGGAGGGCAAAGTAGCAATAGAATCGTATGTGTTTGTATAAGTATGAAAAATCTGTAAAGTTCTTTGAAAACACTGAAAATAGTGACTTTCTTTGGTGCTGTTAGAAATGTGTATCCAAATTTTGCTCTCTTCAAGATAGCACAACCACAGTGAGCTTCATGTGATTATGTAGTATAAACCTGGGCAAAATGTGACAGGTAAAGTTACTTAGCCACTTTTGAAAATTGTACTCTTTGTGTCTGTTTAATCTTCTCTAGCAGTTTTATGCTGACTTGGGGTTTGTCTACAACAGTGCATTAGCATTCACCAGTGTGGATTAAGTTCTAATCTTCATTAGTGTGTAGCCTGGGTAGTCTGGATCATGTTGCCATGTACTAAAAATTCCCTAACACATATTAACTTAGTTCTGTTACACACAGCACTATGTTAATATGCATCAGGGAACTCATGGTGCATGCTAGTGGGGTTCACAAGGGCCACTAACTGTGCGATATGCTGCTGAGGACAAGAATTTACACCTCTCTAGTGCACACTAATGCATCTTGTAGACAAGCCCTTAAGTAGTTCCTATGAATTTTGTTAGGCTTAGTTAATATGTGTAACATGCTAATATGTTACAGAAGCTTCAGATGCAGAATAACGTGTACATTCAGTACTAATATTTTGCACTTTACTATATATATTCTTCTGCTCTACATCTATATAGATTTATTGTGGAAAAACAGAGGTTTAATTAGTTTTAAGTTAACCTTTTTCTTTTTTGCTAGGATGTTTATTCCTACAAGCAAGTGGGGGTCTCGTTAAACAGAATATTCACAGTTAATCCCAAAGGGGAACTTATACAAGAGCATGCAAAAACAAACATCTCATCGTAAGTAATAATTTGTCCCAAGTACTTCATGGGCCATATACATCACCCAGCTGATTATGAGAGCAAAACCGAGGGTTTATTTGGCTTTATATTAACAGAGGTTTCCTAGTTTAAAATGAAATATTTGGCTTGATATAACATTTGATTACTTGACTATCAAGTCTCCACTATTCATTGAGCCAATCATTTAAAAAATTTGTTTACTTTATTCACTTAGGGTATGTCTACACAGCAATATTATTTTGAAATAACTAGCATTATTTTGAAATAATGTTGAAATACTGTCAAGCTGGAGGACTTTTTACTCTGACTCGTGTAACCCTCATTGTACGAGGAGTAAAGGAAGTTGGAGGAAAAGTGCTCATTTCTAAATAAGTGCTGTGTAGACACTCCCAATTTCAAAATAAGCTATTTTGAAATAAACTATGTAATTGACGTAGCTCAATTTGCGTAGCTTATTTCGAGTTAAGCCCTGCTGTGTAGATGCGCCCTTATAGGGATGCTGTCCACTTGTAGTTTCAAAAATAAGTTACATGTAGTTTCTTGAGTCTCTCTTACATTTTTTGTGATCTTTAAATAATTCTTTCTTTAAAGTTTCCTTTTTCAGAATTTATATGTGAAAGACTTAGGGCAAAAAAAGTTTAAAACTAACTATATAGTGGGCACAGCTAAAAGTGCCTATATACACATTCCTGTTCAACCGAGATTAATGGGAATTTTCCAGAGTTTAAACAAGCTGTTGGCTTGGTTTCAGAAGCACTCACACACTGCAGAAGTCCTGTTATAGCCAACATAACCACTCACATGAGCAGGGTTCTTCAGGCAGACCCTGAAAAAAATATTAATAACTATATTTTTCTCTTTCAGTTATGGGATTCTAAGGGTAAACTGGTAACAATAGTGGATAGAAAAACGGTAGATTTAAATTTGCGAGAGTAATTACTCATGTGAGTAATTCTGTTATGGTCTTGTGATGCTCTTATTTGTTCTGGTGGACATTTAATCACAAGCACATTTCCATTGACTCAGTAGTAATACTTGTGTGAGTAGCTGCTCACAAGTGTAAGTGAGGATTTTTAATCCTTTATCTTGGAGAGGTATACAGAATGGTTTGCAGCAGGTAACCAAGACATCTAAAAATTATTTTATAGAGTCACAGATAGAGGAGAAACAAGAAATATAGGGAGGACTTCCCTTGTCCAACACCCTTGGGACTTGACTGGTCCCGGATGAAGGACTTTGCTGGGCCAGGGGGGTCATTTTGGACCCCTCGCCTAGCCCTTCTGGCCTGGCAGCTGGCCTCCCAGGCGGCTCCCCATCTTCTGCTGGTCCCGCTGCCCTGCTGGGCAGCCATCGCTGCTACGGCTCTAGGCAGCCACATGCACCTTGTGCTGGGGCTCTGGACAGCCATGTGTGTCAGGGTTCCCTTGGCAATTGCTTCCTGAGCAGCTGTGCACTGGAGCTCCCAACATCTCTGGGCAGCCCCACCATCAGCTGCCCTGCAGGGATCCTTACTGCAGGCCCTTCACCGGGACTCTCTGGTCCTACAACATCCATGCTGGATCATGGCTGTTGCTGGACCAGAGAATCCTGATTCAGAGAGTCTGAACCTGTAGTGCATATATAGTTATCATGCTACAGTCACTACATGTGAGCAGTCCTGAAACGGTAGATGGATTATTGCAATGTGATAGCTCAAGAAATGTCAGGAGTGAGTCAGCCAGGTGGAAAGAATGAAAAGTGATGTGGTTTGTGATGCTGAAGCCTCATAAACATTTTAGTCCAAATTTTCAACATTGTCTCATGATTTTGGGTGCCTGCAGTCCTCGCTTCTCTCCTTGAGCCACCTGAAAGAAGCTACATTGTTAGAGTATGAGTACTTAGCTGTTTTGAAATACATTAAACCTCTTTAGGATGTCTCAAGTTGGGGACCCAGAAAAAGGAGAAACTCCAAATTACTAGTCACTTTTGAAAATCTGGGCGTTAATGCTTGTTTTTTTAAAATACATAATTAATGAATGTGCACTTCATCACCTAGCCATTTCCAAATTGAGCTACCATAAACTGCTCTCAAACACATACACCTTTGAATATCACTGCTCAAAATGAATGCTGATGGAGGGATGGAAGTAGGCAGGTTGAATTGATCATTTCATGCAGATGAGCTTTGCATTGCATTTGTAATGTGCATGAGGGTTCCTAGAGTCTTAGGTAGGCATAAATGAAAATGAATAAACAATTTGAGATCATTTAAATGGCAATTTTCCTCCCCCAGTTACGTCAGACTCTGTGAGGTGGTTGATCACGTGTTTCCTTTGCTGAAAAGAAGCCATTCTTCAGACTTCCCTTGTTCTGATACCTACAGTCAGTTCACGTACTGGAGGGACCCACTGCTACCTTTTGAAAGCCAGGATATTCATCTGGACTCACCTTAAATGCATCCGCAGCTTCTTGGCCTCAGTTCAAAGGATTGGTTATCTTATATTTAAAAGGCACAGCTTGTTTTTTGCCTTGGACAGATCAGCTGGAATCCGTGCTGTTGTGAGCATTGTATGCATTTGTTAGAAGCAAATTTGGAACTGTGTTTCCATGCTTAACATCTGATTTGAAGTAATTAGGAATGGAAATAGTGCTTCCAGCTTCTCAGACAACATGCTTAAGATATGCAACACTCTTACGACAAAAGGGCAGTTACTCATGCAATAATACTGGTTTTCACTTAAAAATACTATAAGGTTTAGTTTAAGAAAGCAGTTTTCAATCTTTTCCACACCAGGTTCTCTCATGAATCATCTTCCCATCTATCCAGAACTCTCATCCATTTAGCAGGAGGGGAAGGGCAGGGTTTCAACACCTCAACACAAAATTGTACATTTCTGTACAGACTGCAACCTCTGTCAAATTAGAAATCCCTCATTTAAAAGAATGGACAATAATCCCCCTCTCCCCACAAACAAACATGGAATTATGTCACGAGTTATTGGGCCAGACCCTGAACTGGTTTAAATTGGCTTTTTTTCCCCCTGGGAAATAATGTACACTCACAATGTTTTTATTTCCCTTACTTTCTATTTAATCTGATTCTGTCATTCCTACTCACATTAAGAAATACCTTACTCCAAAGCCAATCCATTTGGATTAAGGCACAGTATAAGTATTCAAGTGGAAGAATTCAACCAACTGAGTGAAATCCTGGCCCTGTTGAAATAAATGGCAAAACTCCTGTTGACATCAATAAAGTAAAGATTTTACCCATTGATTGCACTGAGTTGCAATTTGCTGGAGGTGAGAACTTCAAGGGGTTTGTCAAAACTAAAAAGTATTTTGTGAAGCATTTTTTTTGGCTAAAATGTGAACTTGCTGCTGGTTAAGGATGCATCTCATGATTTCACCTTGCAGAATGTTTTCAGTTGTGTGTGTTTTGCTGTATATCTGGCCATCTCTGGAATCAATGAAATCTTCCTTTTCACTTTTAGATCTATAGCTGCATACTTTTTTTTTCTCATTTGCACAGACACTGGTTGTAGTTACTGCTCTGTTATGTTACTTACTTTTCAATGTCATAAATTTTACCGGCTTGCATTGAAGTCAATATTGCAGATCAGTCAAGAGCATTTTTCAAATAATGTACTGCGGTACTTTGCTTTAAAATGTATACTTCAACATATGCCAAATGATCAAAAAAATTGTGCTTGGAGATGAGTAGTAAAATGATCACCTTATTTATTTTTAAAGATATTTGGCTGGGGAGTAACAGTCCAAAGCATAATTGTTCTCTGAAAATAGCATCATGGGATTCCATGTTCAGTGTATTTTCGTGTCTCTTGTATCAAATTTGCTCAGTTTATAAGGAAAGGATAGATCCTGATCCTGATTTAATTCAGTGGAGGTTTTGCCACTACTGGCACTAGTGGGAAATGGATTGGCACACCCAAATATGGATTTTCTAATAACTGGCCTTGAAAACTCACTGACTTCAGATATGAAAGTTAAGGGGTCAGTTCACATTGCCCTGCATCTTGAATAATCATTTATACAAGTGTCCAAAGTCTTTGCTTCTTGTACAACTCTGTGACTCAGGAGAAGACTTATATATGTGCTCTACAGGTGCACATATACTTTATTGAAATCAGCATTAGTGCACAAGTATGAAGAACACATTTTGACTTTCAGACCTTAGATCAAGGGTGCAAGGCTAGCAGTTCATAAATAAAAAAAACATTTGTTTTTGTTTCAAACTGAGCACATTTGGTATTGGGTCCTGGTGAGAAATCAGTGTGGGCCTCTAGGTGCCAATTGAAGAGAGTCATGTCTCTAAGTACAACCACACTTTAACTTACATGATGTGATTCTTGGATGTATAAACCAGGGATTAGGAGTAGTGATGTGAGTTTTTTAATCTCTGTATAATGCTTTAGTGAGATCAGTGCCACAGTACCGTTTTTGCTTACCACATTTTAAAAAGATGTTGAAAAATTGGAGAGGATGCAGAAAAGAGTTACAGAAATGATTCAAGGTTTGAAGACAATGACTGAGAAACTAAGGCTATGTCTACACAGCACTATTCTTCCAGAAAAAGCTATGCAAATTGCAAACCACAATTTGCATAGCTTTTTCTGCTTCTTTTTTCGGAAGAGGTTTTTCCGAAATTTGGCCTATCTATACTGGGCAAAATGTCAGAAAAAAATCTGTTTTTTCAGAATATCCCTTCTTTCTCATAAAACGAGGTTTACAGGGATGCCAAAAAAGCGCATGTGCTCTTCCAAAAAAAATTACAGAAGAGCAGACGCGTTCCCTGGATGCAGCCGAGTTTTTCCGGGATACCTTAGGTCTGCAATGTGGACCTAGCCTTAGTCTGTTTAATTTAGCAAAAGGAAAATTGAGGGGTGATTTAATTGCTGCTTCTGAGTATCATCAGAAGAAAATACTGGGTATTAAAGGGCTTTTTAATCTAGCAGAGAAAGGAAAAGAAGAATCAACAACAGGAAACTGAAGCCAAATTCAAATTGGAAATAAGGCAAAAAATTTTAAAAGTGAGGTGTGGATTCTCCACCACTTGATATCTTGAAATCAAGGTTGGATGCCTTTCTGAAAGATATGCAAAAGCCAAATACAAATTATTAGGCTCAATACAAGGGTAAAATGTAATGGTTTGTGATATATAGGAAGTCAGGCTGGATGCTCTACTGACCCCTTCTGGCTTAGATATTATTTATTATCTCTTGTCATTAACTGTTGAGTTACTGGATGAACATATTAGCCAGAGTCTATCTGTATTTATTTTGTTAGTGGCCTGTAGTAGTACATTTATTATATAAATTTTTTCCAGCCACTAGATAAGATGCTCTCAGTTCAGTTACCCTCCTGGAATACTTAAGGCCTTACTTTCAAAGCTGAGCATCTGGAGCATATTCACCCAGATCTCACCCAGAGCAAATTGCATCTGGAAGGAAGGTTTGTAGCATTTATTTGCTGATGTGCTATAAGTAGTGAATCCAGTTTTAGTAACCTTTTAGTACTGGAAACAAAATGGTAGCATAGATTAGTAGCTAATTTAAATAGTTTCATTTTGAGACCCTACTACATTATGAGGCACTGTGATCTGTCGAAGTTTGACTGTAGCTGTATAAACACAAAAAATATATTTCACTCTTAGCTAATATTTATTAAATTGGCCAAGGGTAGAGTAGTTGGGAAAATCACAAGCTTGTTCTGTTAGCAACACAAGATTTTGATTCTTTTTTAAGTGTACTCTGTTTTGCTTTGGCTGTCAAGCAGTTGTATGCATACATCTTTAATCTGGATTATTCATTCATAAAGAACAAAGTGTAAAGGTTAAAGGAATTCTTATTCTTTCTGTGAAAGAAAAATGTTGCCTGCTTTCAGTGTAATGGTGGTTTCTGTTACAGAAAAAAATACTTTTTGCTAACATAATGTAAATAAAGACACCAAATCACAATGTGCTCTATTTCAACAATAGACATATTATAAACAAGACTATGCAGTGGTGACTTTTGCTTATTTTCATCAATCAGATGACTGTCCCACAGGTGGCTGTAGGAGGAGGAGGATCATATGTGCATCTCATTAGTTATATTGAAGCTAAAATGTATTGACAACTTTTGGGGTTGGGTGAACTTTTTATTTTATTTTTTGGTTTGGCTCACCATTTCAATTCTATACAGGATTTGCTCAGTCTAGTGCATTGATGGAAATCATTGTAACACCTCGTTTTGATGAGCTGACTACAAAGATGTTAA